TATTTTTACCTACTATTATTACTGTTAATTTAGTAACATACTGTCTTCTTTTCCCCAAAAAGCATTTCACAGGCATTTGTATAGACACATTTAGTAAGGCAAATTAAAAGCAAATAAGAGATATTAGCATGTGTATACACAAACACAAAAAGGGTGGGGAGGGGAGAGTGATAAAGCAATAACTGTATAGAAAAATATGAATATTAGAGGAATTGGAGTGAAAGGTATATGGGAATTCTTTGTACTATTCTTTCAACTTTTCTGTGTCATTGTATCAATTTTTAATCAAGACAAAACTATGAGTCAGGGTGGAACACAAAACAAATTGGAAATATAAAGTCATTTACACTTGTGAGGAGTGGGCCAAAATTCAGTTATAAGCTTTATAACAACCAACATGAAGCAAGAAACACAATAAACTGTGTGAGCCATTGCCCATAAGATAAATACAGATCATTGTTCAGGGAAGAATGCACAACTATTCCTGGCTCCTGGCACTGAAATGAGAAAGAAATTTCTCCCACCCATTCTCAATGTCCTCAATAACATTTTTATGGTATATAAAACAAAAGTTTCATAGGGCTGTTTTGTGTAACATCATTCATACCGAGCCAATAGACCAATGCCAAAGCAAAATTCAGTAAAAGCAATTCTACAGAGTGTAAAACTAGGCAGCCGAAGTATATAGCTCCCAAACAGCTTTGTTAAACTCAAGGATAAGATCATAGAATATCCACACAAATAGACACCCTGCACATTTGCAGACAACATTTCCAAACTACTGGTTGCCTTGTTCATACCTTTGGTAAATATTAAATCAAGTAGAAGCTATGTTTTCTGCAAGAAGCTAACACCTCTTTAATGTTGCTGCTTAAGTCAAGAGCCATATCCTTTAACAAGCAGCCAAGCTGGGGGTAAAATTAATACACACTTACTCATAAATTTACATATAAACTTATAAAGTTTAATAGCTTTGCAGGGATATATGCCTGGATGAAGATCACCTTAACACACAAAAAAATCAGCAACTGGCCTATAAAGCTCTAACTCAGTACCAGGACAGTTCCAGCCAATAAAAATTTTAAGCACATGTCTACTCCATATTAACAAAACATCCAGAGAGCAACATATTACTGAGAATAATAAAATTCCCAAGTCTACTCTTCATTATGAACTGGTAATCATACATATAACTGGGTAACTAAAAGAATTACAAAGCATTGTTATCTGTATAACTGAGTAAATTACTAGAGAATACGTACGAAAACTTCAATGCTAGAACAGTTAATGTGTGGTGGTTCTTTTCCTATTGCCAGAAAATAAAAGCATACCACAGGCTTACTCCTTTTTCTGATCCTAAGCTTCAAAGAGGAATACTGTTAACAAGCACATGTGAGACTGGCCAGGGAGACAGACACAGACATTCACGTGGCACTTACAATATCAGGCTAAAAGACTGTGTTCACTAGTATGTCTTTTTCACTAGACTTTGAGCCAGAGGATCATAAGGCAGTGGTTTTGAAACTTGAGTGTGCATCAAAATGACCAAAGGTACTTCTTTAAAATACAGAAGTACAATTTTAAAGTAAACTATCTATGTTGCTCAGAATGGCATATTTAAACATTTCATTTTGTTTATAGATTTATAAAATATGCTTTAAGACAAAATTCACAAAATAAAAAGAATATCAATAAACAGATAAAATATAGTTTTGCAATCAGCACAACATTGAAAACAGAAGGGAAATGCCAGACATACAAATGATCATGCAGATGATAATTTTTATTTATACATTACCTAACTTCTGAATCACTAAAATAATCTTACAAACATTCAATACATCTTTCACAGTGGTCATGCATGAGAGAGACTGTCATAATATAAAACAGTATTAGGCAGCCAGTTGCATACATCTGTTCATTCATTCATCAAACAGCTACTGAGTACCCAATGTGTGCCAGGCACTGTAATGGGGCAACAGATGCACTTATAGTCCTCACTTTTGGGAAGCTTGTGGTTATGTGTTGTTCCCTGCTGAAGAAGAGATTCAAGAAACCATTGCGAAAGAGAAAGAGAAGCAAGGCAACAGTAAAGGGCTGTCAGAACTGATGAGCAAAGGGGTTACCCTTACATTTATTTCCCCCTTTAATATCTATTTTCATGGTTAATAATACTCCATTTCATTCCTAAACTTTATTACAACCAACATGTAGTAAGAACTATTAATATAATAAAA